TTAATTCTTTCAACTAATAAGTTTAAAAGATGCAGTGCATTCTCATAAATATGTATTCTGGAATGTTTGGAAAGCGCGGCCCTGACAATATAAAAGGAACTCTCCGCATAGTTTATCCTCCAGTGGACAAATATATCCGCACAAGCGTATAAGGACCACAATTATTAGTCTTATTAGTAGTTTCGTTCTGCAAAATGACAGAAATTTCTGATGATAAACTTCACGACTTTCTCATGCTCATATGTCACATCTTGGACTTTGGTTTAACGACCGTTAAGAGAAAAAAATAAAAAAAAAAAGATAAACGTAACTGTATCATACAAGCTACTCACTATCCAGTTAGACTAAGAAATTTTAATGCCGATCTCGCCCTAGGATTAAGTTTCCGCAACATGAAAAAAGTCTGCGACTTTAACTTTTACACTGACAACGCAGCTGATGACAATAATTTACTGTTTTCTTCTGTGCGAAAAGGTGCTTCCAATCAGATGAGAAGCAGCCAACTTTTAATATTTGATGTACGAATGTATAGACTCATACCTTGCAGAAGGTTACTTTAAAGAATAGTGTTCTTAGGCTATCGTTAGTTGTATGAAAACGGTTAGTTTCACTTAAGAAACATCAGAACCCGCCTGGTCAAGTCTCAAGGCGGAAATGGCTATTGGCGACTAGAGAATATCAAATTTATTGCACGTGCAACACTACATTCTAACACTGTTCCACATGATACAGCACAACACAGTGATGGTAGCCGCAAAGAGAAGCAGTTTGCAACACTGTTTACCGCGTTTTGCAGCAAGCTGATTGCCTTTACGCATCGAATTGGCGCCAAAAATTTTGCAGCTGTTAATTTTTTGCGCTGTAATGAAGTGAAAAGTACGGGAATTTCAAATTCAAATTTTTCGAAGACAGCAGATTCTTTGGTTGTTGTGCTTCCGTAAAAACGGTTCTGTGGTCCTCTCAAAAATTCTGCTTCTTGCTGCCTGTTGTCTTCTGTATTAGCTTGCGCACAGCCTGGAACTTCTGTTTAGCTCTTTTTCTTTCTCGTGATGTTTCTGGTTTTCATTAATGCAGCGTTGTTGTTTGATGTTGATGCTTGTGCGTTGGATCAATTTTTCTCTTGCGTCTTCGCGGAATACGGTGTCATTTCATAATCACAGATTTGCGTCAACTTCGTGTGTACTGAGCAGTGTTTTGCAGGACGGGCGCACTTGTTTTGATATGTGGTTTGATGTGCAAATGGAAGTTTACTGTTTTGGCACAACAAAAAAGCAGAATAATTTCAACTGTAGGAATTAACTGTAGTGTCGGGAGTTGTACGGAATTGAAAACGCCTGTAAGTAGCAGAATGAGCTGTAAAAAGAAAGTCAGTGTAATTTTTGAGAAATGCGAACTAATAGTGCATTTTTTTTACAGCTTTTCATTTCGAAAATGTTGGCATGTTATCGTTGCACTCGCTGTTCAACAAACTAACAGAAAAAATAGTGCGAGTAGTTCTTAGCGCGTTTGGATGTGAAAACCGTCTTCAGGAGATAGCTGCCATTCAAAGATTTCCTTAACCAGTAGACTGTTAATAAGTGGCCAATGAAAAGGCTTAATCGGTATTGCCATAGACGGTCCATCATGCTGTTTTTTAGTCTACAGGTTCAGTCTTCATTCCACAAAGTACTTTTAGAATTTTTGAGAAATGTTTACATTTTTGTCGCCTCTAACTTTTATATGAGCTACCTAACTTCCAAAAACGATAGCGGCAGTACGAGGGGCGGTTTGTTTTAAGACGGTTTTCAGTGCTGTGTTTAAAGAATTTGGCAGAAGAAAAGTTTCTAATATTCACTAGAGCAACGGGAATGGTTTTTCAAAGCATACCGGTTTAAAAGATACGCGTCTGTTGTTGTGACATTAGGAAAAATCAACATAAGACGTAGTTCGGATGCAATTCAGTGTTCTAATTACCACTGTTTCTGCAATCAGTATTTGTAGGACTGATTTTTGAAAGTCATTAATACCTTATCAGTTTCTGGAAATCACTGAGCGAAGTGCTTTCAGGAGAACTGCAATGAAAACAAGATGATTTAAAAGGGATGGGCAATTTTAACTACAATTTTTCAAACCCATGTGTAATTTCTGTGCATTTTTGATTGTTTTACGGCAATAACAGCGTTTCCTTAAACCAGTCTTTCTAAAAAGTTTATGACGCAGCAGTTTACTCTGAGGAAAGTTTTTTTGTTTTGATGACGTAGTTGGTTCTTCACTTTTTTCTCAGAGTTATCACCACCCGCATACTTTCAGAATTATAAACCAGAAGTAAAGCAAAACCATACTTGTAACGGTTTATTATTGTTAAAATCTTTATTGTACGCGCGAGACGTTTCTAGCAACTGCACTGGTATTTCTTATTAAAACTTACTCAAAATTTGCTGCAGCTTGTAAATCGGACTTTGGACTTTAAACCGTTCTGCTTTTATTGAAAACCTCTTACCACTTCCTAAGCGTTTTCAAGGCTTCCAGTGCATGCGTTGAGAAATGTTGAAGTAGAGATATCTTGGTGTTTCTGAAGTTTAGGTGACGAGAACGCAAAAAACGGATGGAGGCATTACGTTGAGAAATAATTTAAATGTTGCCTTCATCTGAGTAGTTCATGGCAGTAACCTCAGTTTTAGTATGTTTCAATAAAATAAATAGCGTTGTAACTCAGAAAATTGGATAGTGTATTTTTTTGAGAGGTTGTTTGTGCTGAATGGAGATTGAGACTTGTTGATGGGGAGTTCGAAGTGACAGAGGTTTTTCTAATGACGTTTTTCAAATCTTGGTCAAAACTAGACAGAGGGGTTTGTACCACTTTATTACCCACTTCCAAATGATAGCTAAAAAGTAAGTTCCATAATCATGACGACTATTAAGTGCAGTGATAAAACTACTACAAGTAACAGGTTTTCTGTTTGACGGTCATTTTTTGGGTTTCTGCAGGTCATCTTTGCAATTGTTTTAGTTTAGAAGTAGCACCTATGGCGCACTGCTGTTAAAAAAATCACTTAGATAAATCTAAAGTGAAAAAAATTGTGTCTGAAACTGACCATCACGGACCTGAGACATTCATAATATGTGCTGCTGTTAATTGTAAGGTGGGCGGTTTTGAACATGAGCGGCAGTAATTGACGTCACTGTCAACTGATAAATCACAACTGAATACCACTTAGCCTTTGAAGTTTGTATTTACTTCTTTTACTGGCTGCTAGGATGCAGCAGCTAGTTACATTTTGTCAAGTAACAAGTTTGAGAGGCCTGTAGTTTGTATAATACGCCTAAGGTCGGATTGTCTGGAGCATCAATAGCAGTGCCTTAAAGGCAGCAGTGGTTTACTTGTAGTGTTTGAATTTTTGGATCATAGTGCGTTTTGATGACTAGGAGAGTCAAATGAATTGTTTTCTGCATATATTGGTACTGATTATGTTCTTCTTTTTGCTACTGGTTTGCAATAAAGTTTTGACTGGTCTCTTTCGAGCGCTTTGGAGAAAGGTTGTTCAGGCCTAGTTTTCATGAATTCCTCCTAATCAGTATTCCTAACTTTCCTAATATTGTATCAACTAATGGGCTTTGGCGGTTTCTTAATACCTGGAACCTGTCGGTTTCTATATGTACCGTAAAAGAAAGTGCGTCCCGTTTGGAATTGCCCTTATTGTAGTGTTTTTCGTCTGTAGAATCCATTTTTTTATCTCGAGTGGCTATATATTGTTTTATTTACATCTTCAGAGTCACTGTTTGGAGTGTAAAGTCGGAAGAGTGTAAACTAGCTGTAGTGGATTTAGCAACATGAGTTAGTTATGATGAAGAATTGAGGATAGACGAAGATTAGTTGCTTTTTGAGTTTATTATAAATGCTGGTTTCAAAAAAGATAGTGAGTTGGAGGGGGGGGGGGTGTAAAAATATAACAAACCTGTATCGTTTTTGCTTCTTCTGGTGGTTTGGTGATTGCCTCTATTTGAGTAATTATAATTTTATTTCGAGCACCATGGATGCGTTCCAACAGCGGACAATTACGTTAAGACTTCAGAGTGGCGTTAGATTGAAACAAAGCTTGAAAGTCAAAAGCTGAACCTAAAATACACGTCCACCTGTGCTGACCAGTCATGCAAAACTGATTTAGAAACACAACCAACTCATGCAAAGAGTTAGTAAACCATAATTTTTTTTATGCAGCGGCTGTCGCTTGACGTTCTAGTAAGTTTGCCCGACATTGATCACTCCGTTTTATTATTTTACCTTTTGCTCACAGGAGCAGGAGGGAGGGTAGGACATTATCAAGAAAAATATGCAGTATTTTGTGTTTATTTTGAGTACATTCTTTCTGTTGTAATCCTGGGTAATCTTTTTGCTGAGTATGGTGGTATAATAATACTGCAGTTTTTGCGTACCTATATGAACGGTTTACCTGTGGATTTGGAAGGCAACGTTGCCTCGCAACTTGGGAAAGTAATAACCAGTGGAGAGGAGGTGAGACTGCTGTCTCCAATTGAGCCAATAAGACGAGTTTAAATACTTAAAGAACTCATATACTAGCGATTAACGCTAAATATTCCAGTTGTTACCAAGATTTAAGCATAAAGCCGGAAGGTAGAAATGGCTTTTGTTTGATTTCTTTAAGATAAAGAAATAAAGTTTTGTATAGTATAACTAGCTGTTAAGACCTGAGCAGATCTGAAATCTAGAGTGCCATTATGGTGGTTTTGAAGAAGAAAATGGCGTTTAATCGTCTAACGGTGTTGGTGTTTTTGATCAGCCTCATTCGTTCTTGAGTTTTTTTGTAAGAAAGAGTTACAGTGGTCGGCATTTTACAGCTAGTGGTATATTCTACAAAAATTCTGTGACAAGTCTTGCGTTAAATTTTTCGTTTTATATATTATATCATCACTTTTTGCTTTTAGTGCTTTTTATTAGTACTTCAAAAAATTTGTGAGAGTTTGACCCTTCACTCCGTGGAATTTCGTATTTAGGCTTTAAAATGTCTTCCGGTGACTCTGTTAGTACGAGAGAGGTAGCGGCCTATCCAAGTAGTGAAGCAATGGAAAAGGTTTTTTTTGTGTACTTTTTTTCCAGGTCTTTGGCTTCCGGGGTTCTTTATGGTCTTTTAATCCTGATGAACTATTTTCGTAACTTGTTGGAGTATATCCTTTTTTTTGCAGATAAGGGCAGAAGTTCAGTCGATTAATGTTTCGGACGAGCCGCTTCTTATTGATAACCCTTCAAGATTTGTTATCTTCCCAATCAAGTACCACGATATATGGGACTTCTATAAACACGCAGTAGCATGCTTCTGGACTGCTGACGAAGTGAGCTGTTCCTTTTTTCTTTTTAGAAAAAAAGTTGAAGCCTGGTGGCGTTTCGTAAATTTTGATTTTAAGGTGTTTTTGTAAGTTATTTCATGTTTCAGATTGACCTTTCTCATGACTACGCTGACTGGGAAAAACTCACTGCGGGAGAAAGATTTTTTATTTCTCGCGTTCTTTCTTTTTTTGCAGCATCTGATGGAATCGTTAACGAGAATCTGGTCAGTGAATTTGTAAAAATTCTTGTGTTGGGCTATTGCTTTATTTTGCTCTAGGTTAATAATTTCTCGCAAGAAATTCAAATACCAGAAGCACGCTTCTTTTACGGTTTTCAAATTTTCATGGAGTGCGTTCATTCAGAAATGTATTCGAAGCAAATCGAAGCATACATCAGAGACGAAAAAGAACGGTATATTCATTTTTACATTAACCTTCTATGTTAGGCGACACTGCAACACTTGTAAACTATCATTTTGATTTTTTACTTTAAAGCGCAATCTTTGAGCTCAAAGCTGTATTTACTCTGACCGTGTGGTTTGCAGCATACGCCTCAGCTACCCAGCTGCTTTATAAAAAAAGGACTTTTCAGAATGATGCACTACGATGCAATACATCAGTTTCCTTGCATTAAAAAGAAGGCAGATTGGGCTTTACGGTGGATTTACGACAAAACATTTCCTTTTGCAGTGAGACTTGTTGCTTTTGCAGCAGTGGAGGGTAAGTTGGAACCTTGCTTTCTGTAACTTTTTGCTTGATTTTGTGCTAAAAGACAGATTCTCTTCCTGTGGATTTGATTTGACGTCTTTTTGTTCTAGGTATAATGTTTTCTGGGAGCTTTGCTGCTATCTTTTGGTTGAAAAAACGTGGAGTCATGAAGGGCTTGACACACAGTAATGAGCTTATTACCCGAGACGAAGTGCTTTTTAAATTTCGCCTTAGTTTGTGGTATTTAATGGTTCGGTTTTAAATAATGGAGTTCAAAGTTACGTTTCTTACAGGGTCTTCATCGTGATTTCGCTTGCATCCTGTACAAGTACATAAAGAATAAACCGTCTGAGACTGTTGTACAAACAATAATTAGGGAGGCTGTTTTGCTCGAGCAGGTGTTTGGTCGTTTTTTAATTTCTGGTTTATAGGCACACTTGCTGTTTCGGGCGTGTAATGATTAAAGGGCGTTTTTGTAGGAATATCTCACTGAGGCCCTCCCTGTGGATTTGATTGGTATGAACTGCAAACTCATGTCTCAGTACATTGAATATGTAGCTGACCATCTTCTTACTGAACTTGGTTACCCTAAGGTATATGGATTGACTGGTCATGGTTTTTGTCGTTTCAGTTCTATTCGATAACATGGAAGATCTTTTAGATATTCTTAGCCGCTAATCCTTTCGACTTCATGGAAAACCTGTCAATAGAAGCAAAGACTAATTTCTTTGAGCGGCGAGTGAGCGAATATCAACGAGCGAGTGTCTTGGCTAGGGAGGAGGATAAGCACTTTAATTTGAACGCTGACTTTTGAAAACTTTTGTTAATTTGTTTGGTTGCGGTTGTTGTTGTTGTTCAATTTGATAGTTTTGTCAATTGTGAGTTCTATAAAAATTGCGACTTCTAATGCAATTATGCTCAAAGCTTTGGCTAGGCCCTTGCAGAGGCACACTGTTGGTCGTGTTATCAGCTTGTGTTTAATTCCTTCACTGCTCTTGTTCTTGTTTTCCTTTTTTTTTAAAATTATACTTGTTTTTGATAAAAGTTGCGTTGCGGTGAGTCTGACTAAGCCTCTGGGAAATAAAGAGTATTTTTTGTTTGAGGCCAAACATTTTGCTGTTTGTGGGAAGTTGGTTTTGTTAGAGTGGAAGTGTGGATGAACTGGGTGCTGTAAATTTTGTTCGTAGTTGCTGGTCGGACTTCTGTTTCTGCAGTGGAATTAGGTTTTTGGCGTGGCGCTTTAGGATCGTTGGTGTTCCAGGAGGGCTGAAGTGCTATTGCTTTTTGCAGGAAATTTAGTTGGGGTTTCATTTGTTTTCTGTATGGTTGGTACGTATTTTCATATACTGGTGGTTTTTTTTTTTCAGTAATTTAGGGGAAATTGATGGCAGTTGCTGCAACTGTTATAAGTGCATGAATCCAAGTACAATTGGTCAGTGGTCCTTAGCGGGGTAAAGAGAGTGTAGGGAGTTGTTCGTTTCGTGTTCGTAGTGTATAACCAGAAATTTCATTTTTGGGGCCTCTGGCGATATGCTTTTTTTGGAAGACAGATTAGCAATACCAACGATCGGGGTGAAGAGAGTGTAGGGAGTTGTTCGTTTCGTGTTTGTAATATGTAACCAGGAATTTCATTTTTGGAGCCTCTGGCAATATGCTTTTTTCAGAAGACAGATTAGCAAATCGCTTAGTATAAAGGTTGGTAATTGTTGGGGTGGAGTGTGGAGTTGTTTATTGGTAGTGGTACAATTGTATAGTACTGACAACTTCTTTCATTAGAGGTAACTGTATATTGCTTAAGGGAAGGTAAGGCGGATTACTGTAGCAAGGAGGAGCTAAAGGAAATCGTGTTTTGAAGCTGAAAGTTGAGTTAATTGGAGAGATTTGTGGAAGATTGTTTGAACTTTGCGGTGCAGTTGTTGAAGGACGATTCAATCTTGTATGGACAGTGAAGAAATTCAGTTAGAGTTGGAATATAGAAGTGAAATATGCTTTTTGGATAGTGCAATTAAATTTTTTTGAGTAATTGCTTCGGCCAAATAATTTTAAGCAGCCGATGATTGTGGTTCTCTGGTGTAATTTTGGTTTTAGCAAACTGTAGAGTTTTTGAATGGGGCTATTTGTGGAGATAGTAGGTTATACAAAAAAAATTTCTTGATGAATAGAGTAGAGTGACTTTTGAGTTGAGCTTCTGTGAGTTCTGCTATCATAGTGGAGTAACGCCTTTAAACAGTTTAAGCCACTTGAACTACCGCAGGATGGGTTTTTCGTGGGGTCGTGGGTTTTTCGGTTGGGTTCCTGACAAACAGTTCTGAGTTTAATCGACAGATCGCTTAAATGAGACCAACAGGTTTACAACGGTAAAGTTGGTTTGATCGCTTCTTTTTCGGTGATTCATTTAAAGGTCATTTGGAGGGGCGCGTAATATTTTTAGTTCTGATAATGCAGTTGCTTAGTAGGTTTTCGTTTGTTTTTTCTTGTTCCTCGATGGAATATCTTGCTTTTTGATTGTTTGGTGTGGTTAGTTTTTTTTTCTTTTTTTTTATTTAATTACTTTTGAAATCTCTTGTTGGAAATATGTTTCAACTTTCTAAAGTGTTTTAACTATTGGAAATTTGGATAGCTTAGATTCGGTGATTAAACAGTGAAAGTGGGGCCACCCTAGCAGATTCATGTCGGCTTGGTTTTGTGTGACGTAAAAAGTTGTTTTCATTTCTTTTTTTTTTTTCGATTGCTTTTTGCTGTCTACATCCATTTGTAGCTCCTTTTTCATTTTCTCGCTTTGTAACAATTTTTTTTCTTTCAGGTGGCATTTGGGCAGATCAGAAACATTTCTTTGTGTTTTTTTCGGTTTTTTTTCTTTTTGATACACAAAAAGGATGCAGTGATTTTCGGAAAGATATCAATTGAAGAAATGAATAGTTAGCAAGAAAAATGCAGAAGTGTAAGTGAAAAATAAATGATACATGTTTGAAGGGAGTAAAGTGTAGTGGTTGCCAAACGAATACAATTGGGAAAAAAAAGGCGACATTGAAATTTTGAAAGAGGAGGGAGGTAATAACTATTTAAGAGATAAAAACGAAAATTTGGATTTAAAAAAAAGAAAAAAAACAGGAGTTGAATTGGTAAAACCAAAATTTGAGTAGTGTTAGAAAGAAGTTAGTTTCTAGTAGTCTCTACCTATTGTTTTATGTGTAATTACATTAATTTAATTAATTCAGTTCGTTTGTATACATATTAGAATTTGAGTGTTCATTTTTGTATTCATATGCGCACTAATTAACAGTTGTTAAAAGTGCAACAGGCAGCTTACATTATATTTTGTCGAATGGAAAAAATCAGGATCGAAACAAAAATTGAAAGTGATTAGAGATGGAATTATCTTAGCTGATTTGGTAGCTAATATGAAAGTGTAGTATAAACAGGGCGTTTTCAGGGAGTAAACATGTTTTAGCTTAAAAGATAAAAACAGGATCACGCGGTCCTAATCAATTCAACAGAGAATTAAAACGGTTGAAATTTACCATATTAGTGTTTCGTAAAGTACTACAATATAAAATGTTGTGAACGCTAGAGCCAAGCTCTTATTTCAGTCTAAATCAATCTGTGCAACCCGTAATAAGACTGGTCTGATGTCATTATAGGCGCGGAGAAAGGCGCTGTAACTTAATAACTTCAGTGCAATTTTTTAAATGGGCTCTTGAAAGTTTGGAGGGAAATTACACAGCTCCTACTGTTGGTATATCTTCAACTACAATGCTAATTGCTGCAATTTTTCAACAATAAAGGGGAAATGTATAAGAAAGATACGGTCACAGACGATTGAAACATTGTGGTTTGTATGTGTTTTAGCAAAGTAACAGTAAATTGTAAAAAAGTGTTACAATGAAAGGATGAAACTTGGAGGATCAGTCTTTTTTGCTAAGAATAGTTGATATTACTTCTGGTTAAGTTGCTTAGTTTATAAGTAGGAAAACAATTTGTAAGTTTAATTGGTTTTTAATTATACTGCGATTGTCGTACTTCAGTATTATATATGAAAAGAGGCTTTGGGGAAGTAGAAGTGGAACTGTTGTAATTTAAATTTTTATGATATAGATTTAAGAAAATTTCATTTTAAAGATGTTTTGGTGTAAGTATGGATAACATTGAAACTTCCAGTCACAAATGGCTCACTATTGAACGACTGTGACTTTATGTGTTTTGCAGCTAAGGTGAATATGTAAAGAAAGATTATAACCTCAGACAAATACTTGGACGGTTTCACACGACTACAATAGTTTTATGTACAAAGTTTCTGATGCACTGACTTTGGTTGATAATGAAGAGATAGTTCAAAAATTGCCCAGCTGAGATGTACTGTTGCGAATTAATTAAGGTCAGTTTTGGTTACTTTGCAACACTATTTGCATTGATTTATTTAATAACGTTTTCTTTCGAAAGCTGAAAACGATTTTGAAAAAGCGTCAAAAAGTTTGTTGAAAGGATTCGAGACTGTTTAATTTGTCTCAAAATTTATTCTTTTTACGAAAGCACTACTCTGTACCTCACATTCATTTTACAAATATTTATTCGTGTACATACGCGTTTTTTTACTTTAACCAGGAAATATTTTGATTGCCTTTCTGCAAAGGTGAAATTTGGTTAACGTCAGGCAATACTGTTATAATTGCAAAAAGTTCTCAAGTATAGTATTCACTTAAAAAATGATAATCGTTTTTAGTTACTTTACGACGAAGTACCAGTTTCAATGTGTTATGAACTGTATATCGTAAATACTTGGGAACTGTCATAATTTTGGTCGACAAAATTTATGCTTTGTTAGATTGTTATTCACAACTGTTAGTTATTTTTTTGCAAATTGAAAACAGTTTCTCTCTTTTCTTGCTTCTGATACAAAAATCATTCAAGGTTGCTTTCCAAAATAATGTTTAGCGCAAAGGTGTGGAAAAACTGGAGAGGAAGTTTTTGGGGTGTAAAACCGCCGTACTTTACAGCCAACGAACTGCTTATACAATTTATGATTTGGTGCTAAAAATTTACTTTTAAAGATAAGATCAGAAAATAAATGTAAAAAGAAAAGTGAGTAAGTCACCTGCTGACAAATGCATATCAGCGGAAGATGTGTTAAACTTTGGCTTTACTTTTCGTCGTTTTTTTTTACCATCGCGTCTTTGATGCAAAAGGAGCAGTAGACAAAATCAAAAGAAAATAAAGTCTAAAAATTATTTTCAAGTTTTCTTGCTGCCGCTAAGTTGTGTTTTGCAAGTGTTATTGTTTTGTAAATGTGGTGTTATACATTTATCAAGAGAAGAACTCAATACAGTTATTTTAAGATACCGCAAGATTACTTTTCGGGAGTTATGGCTTACACTGTAACATATGTACTTTGTTTTTATAGTAGTTTCCATTCCTGTTTAAATAAATCTTATTTCGATTACTGCCAATAGAAATTCCAAAGCAATAGACCAGGTAAATTTTGTTATTTAGATGCTTCAGATACTTTTGGACTGCAGTGCATAAAACTGGATTTATTTCATGGACAATAAAGACTTCCTTCTTTCTCTTAAAAAAAAAAAATGAGAAAAAGTTGTGACAAAAATTGTTTACAAGAAGCAAAATTGTTCCCCATTTCAACCAGAAGATAAAAAGGTTGATGTTTTCATAGTAACTGTACTTTTTATAAACTTGTCGGACAGCTGTTGCACTACTACAATAAACGTCTCATTTGTGAAGTCGCGAAATATTTCAATAAAATTTGCTAACTTGCAAGGTGAATAAAGTTTTTTGTATCAGATGTCACAGCAAATTATAATGCAGACTCAAGGGTTTTGGGTTGTTTGCTTTTGATGAAAAGTTTCAGTCTGTCAAGAAAATAACTTTTGACATGAAGAATAAATTATTTTTGCATACTCTTATAGATGACATCAAGCTGTCGTATATTTCAGTAAAAGGCTGTGATACTTGATATTTATTTTTTCACTGTTTTAGGATCGTCTTTTATCTTAATTTATCAATTTTTTTTGCCACTCTAAACAGCAATACGATTAGACATTTTAATATGGTCCAACTATGTGAAGTGAATAAGTAGGAATTATTTAGCAGTTATCGTTCGAAGCTATGATACCCGCATACTTCTTACCAAGAAGAAATTCCTGTTTCAATTTACTGTCTGTTGATTAATTGATAAGGAAGAGAAAAAGAAAAGGCAGTTCTAGAAGAAAATACTATAGAATCTCAAAAATAAAGTTATCAAATTCATTCTGCCAGTTTGCTGATAAACGAGTAATTTCGCTTATCTATTGCTCACTGTATGGCAGTCGTTAAGAAGGTCTCAAAGTGTCATCAGATTAAGAATTAAGTGAAATTACACTGTATACAGTATCAGCAAAGTTCTTGCACTCTCTCAAAAAAAGATTCAATTGTTTTACTAAAATGAACAACTTAGCTTTGGAACATTTTTTTACTTTTTTTTCTACCTCGGAAAAATGGCTCTCACAGAAAAAGGAACAGTCTGTACTAGTATTAACAGTGGGAATGACAGCTTCCCAACCGGAATTGTTGACAAAAAGTCGGTTCTTAGAAGAGCAATAACAGCATTTTCGTAAAAAAAAAAAAAAGCTTTGAAAAACCTCTAACTAACTTAGTCGGGATAATGCTGAATGTCTCGAGGATTCTTGAGGTGGTATTCTACGTAAACTTTTACGTAAAGGTTTTTAACACTTACTTTTTAAAAATTTTACTTATAAAGAGTGATACTTTTTGGTCTGATTTATTGCGCATAACTCTGTAATTAAAACTAATAGATTGAATATTACTATATACTATACTATATTAGTTGTCGTCAAACAAATGGTGTTGTTATTCTTTTTTTGTTACACTTAGCTATCTATAATGGCTTTTTTAAAATTTAGTTTTTTTTTGTTAAAAAAGCTGGAGAAACTTTCCAAAAATCATATACATTTGTCAGTTTTAATGTTACTGTTTAAAAAAATTTTTTCCTCTTGTAGTCTATCTTCTCAGACACCTTGATACAAAAAGATAAAAAACTGGAAAGTTTCTATTTTGAAGACCAGACATGTGTCGATTTTTCTGGTTTCAAGCTGATTTCCTTTTCTTCTTTGCGAACATGGTGGTTTGATGATTTGGATGCTGAACTGTGCTTGCTGTATGCGCAAAGAACACTTTTATATAGTCCTGCCGTTTGAAAAATGATTGATGTTTTTGTCGGCACTGTTGCCCTGTCAGGTAACCACAAATATTAATCTTTTTATTATTGATACTCTTCATAATCGTTGTGGCTTTAGGTTCATTAGTTCTAAGAAACTTGATCTGAATGTTTATATTGTCTGTCGTAGATCAGACTGACCAGGGCAAATATGGGGTTAAAATGGTCGATATAGTTGTAAATAAAATTAATTTTTTATTATGAAAACACCCAAAGATGTATTTAATTTATCTGTTGGTGATATTCTAAAAATTGATCTGCTGGTTTTCCGAAAAGTTTTCACTGGAAGAATAATCAAAATTGGTATTGATACTTCAAAATGTCTTTAAAAAATTTTTATAATCTTTTTGCCATAACTCTGTTAAGTTCATAATTTTTTTTTCATGAATCATTTTTTAAATTTACTATTAAAAGATTAGGTTGCACTATTTTGTTTTTTATAGAGGTTTTTTAACCTATTGCTTCATTTCTTACTACTCAGAGTTGCAAGGTCAACTATTTTTTAAATTTCAACAACTAATTAATTTTGTTTTTCTGATGAAAACAAATAAAATCTATGTATTAGAAGATATGAAGAACTAAGCAGTTTGCGAGCAATAGCTACTGATAAAATATTGAGCTTTAAACAGTTATATAAATCAGGTAAACCGAAGCTATAGTGGGAAAAGAAGCGGTTCTGCCTGCGGTAGAAGGGTGTTGTTAAATTTGTAGGAAACCAAATTGAGGACATAATAGGCAAATGACGTGTGGTGTTTGAACACAAAGTTTTCGGTACATATAACTGTTTTGTTTATTCAATTACAAAAGTTTAAGTTTGCAACAAATCGGGAAGGGAAATTTTTTTCTATGTTCCTTTAAGGAATGTTCATTAAAACTCTGACTGACAAAAGTTTTGTTTAAATCTTTTTCTTTTTTTTTTTTTGTTGATTTGTGTAAACTCAAATCTTGAGAAACGAGTTTCTCTCTGCATATGAAGAACGGCATTTAAAATTGATTAGAAAAAAGTGAAAGACGAACTTTAATGTATTTCCTGTTCTGATACCTTACAAACTGCATTTTTTTTTTTTGGTTAGAAGACAGAAAGATAACTCTAAAATACTGAAAATGGCGAACATGAAGGACATGTTCTATTGAAAAAAAAAATTTTTTTTTCGAAATATTGTTAGCGTAATAAAATAGAAATCTGACAGCAGATTTTTTTTTCTTCAAACAAAAGAAATTTTTTTTTTTGATTAAGCTCAAACTGCAGCAGTTTGCAACTGTCGTCTGCATAGGCAAAGAAATGACTTTCTGCACTTTCAAGGCTTGACAAAACCGTGGCAGTATGATCACTGTTGTAATCCCGACCTGAATTGACCCGGTATTCCTATACATCAATAGCTGCTTGCTGTCTTTGAAAGTGTTTCATGAGCAGTCAATTTTTTTCGTCACTTTTTTTTTTTCTTTTTGTAGCTATCCGCTAAAGTTGTTTTTTTGTTTTGATGTCAGTTTCTACTTGTTTCTCTATTGTACTCAGTTATACTTGAAATACATTTTTTTTTCTTCAAAACAAATCAGAAGCAAATGTTGTAAATTGAAAAAAATTAGAATTTATGAGGTTTAAACTTTAAACAATAAATAAGTAAACGCTGAACGGTATTTTTGATTTGTATCGCCAAAGAAGCCGCGAACACCGTGACAACGTTACTGTTATTTCCATTTTACCAGTATAAGGAGAACAGACATTTATTGGATTTGACATCTTAAACTGTGGCTTATTTAACAATAAATACTAATGAATTCAGGTTTCATTTATCTACGGTTGGCAGCGAAGAATCGTTTGCCCACATACTCTAATCTTAATCATAAGAGTAATTTTCCACTAAAAACGGTGTCCACTTTGCCTCCATTCAGCGACAAAAACACTCAAAGTTTGATTACCAAAACAATACCCTAGAAAACCTCAAGACTGAAGAAACTAATGAAGAATTACAAGTAGATGTACAGTTGAATCTAAATTGCTTTAAAAGAGATACTGAATAGCACTGGAGAATCAACCTTCCAGACAGCCAAGCAGGCTTCTTCTTTTTTGCTGCTTCTATATTTTTCAGATGAATATGTGCACCATGAAATAAACAAACAAGTAAAATGAATATATATGTTATTTTGAAGGCTTCTTGATTTTTCACTGCAATTACGCAACCAGAGGTCGAAACATTTCCACTATATCGCTACGTCAGGTGAATATTAATACTAACATACTAATACGGAAGTAATGCGATTTGGCAAGCAATAGCACAAGAAATCATTTTATTTGAACGACAAAATTAGTCGATTAAAAATTTTTCAGTTTTTTTCTAGTTTATTTCCTTCCATTCTTTGTGCGAATAGTTTGTTGGTATAAGGAGCTAAAAAATGACAGAACTTTATCTTCAGATAATAAAGTGGATGCATACAAGCACTTTTAAGAATTTATTTAAAAAAAACATTTGTTTTTGCTTTTGTAATTCGTATACAATAGAGAATTGGTTCTTGAGTTTTTTTAAATGTTGACTGATAAAATTTTATCCAATGATTTACTAACGCTTAAAGTACTTGTTGTGCGACTGTCTCACAATGCAACGAATAAAGCCACTTAATTTTGTTTCTCAAAAAGAAAAGTTGCTTTGAATTACATTTCAGTTATATCTTCTGTGGAGAGAAATGACAGCTTGTCAGCATGTTATATTTTTTCTTGCCTAGTAAATGCAGTAGAAAAAAATTTCTCCAACAATTTGCTTATTTATAGCAAATGTGTTGGATTCAAATTTGTTTATTCCATGTATTTTTTGTTCATTAAATGACAGGATTACTGCTTTTCAGTGTTTTTCCTGAGCACAGTTTTGGCGGCATGCACTCGCGATTTTGCAGCCACTCGCTTCCGATCCAAACTTTGTTTCGGAAAGTTTTGATCCGTAAGCAGTACAGGATCGCAAGGAGATGGTGGAACAATATTATTAGTTCGCCGTGGGCAAGGGCAATACGAACCGTCTAAGCCATTAGGTCCAGCCGCACCTTGCTGAAAATCCCATTTTCAATCACCTACAGTTGAAACACCTTATCTCCATGTAAACTTTCGGGATATATAACAAAAGTCAATTTACCGGTCCTAGAGGTCCGTCTTTACCGCGTGGCCCTGGACTACCAGGTGGACCTTGTGGTCCTCTTGGACCTCGTGGACCATTTTCACCATCTGCACCGTTGGGCCCTGGCTGTCCCATAGGTCCCATAGGTCCGCGAGGTCCCTTTGGTCCGCGTCTACTAACTGTCTTGTTACCATTAGCACCCGGAGGTCCCCGGACACCTTGTAGACCAGGCGGGCCTAAATTTAGTTTTATTCTTCAGACAATAAGGTTTTGTAACAGGATAATAATTTTAACTGCTTTAAAATACTGTTTGTTTATTTGTTGGTCCTGTCGCAGAAGAAAATGAGTCACCGTTTGGTCCGGGTTCTCCAGGAGGTCCCTGTGGTCCTGGTGGTCCTTGTTGTCCAGGCCGTCCAGGTAATCCTGGATGTCCGTCAGGGCCCGCTGGACCCATTTCGCCATCAGGGCCTGGAGGTCCTTGAGGTCCTGGGGGGCACTTAACACACCCTGGAGGCTTATCAACAGGATATGAAATTTGAATACCATCTGGTCCGTCTCGTCCATCTGGACCTGGCGGTCCATCCTCTACAAATCAGAACAAGTTTCTTAATTATAAACAACATATTATTCTTCAGGTAACTAAAAATGGCATTCGACGAAAATGAAGAAATAGAAATAAAATTTTTATAAAGTTACCCCCCGGTATTCCTGGATCTCCTGGTGGTCCTGGTGGGCCACGTGGACAGCGATTAGGTAGAATGCATTCTGAAATTTGACTCTGAGAAAAAAAAGGTGGAGATACACTAGTCCTGTCACCAGTGATTAAGAAGCAGCAGTAAAAATGTTCGGTATTTATTGCCAACACTTAAAAACTTACGACAGTGCTTTGGTAAACCGGCTTGTCGTCTGTTTCGAGACAGTAGTTTGGCAAATGGGTTTATCCCTACAGCTGGTGAGCCCTGTTTCTGGATGCCATGAACACTCATAATCTCGTCCCAGGCATCATTTGCCAGTGTCTTAAATAGATCTTTCTTTTACAAAATTTCACTCCTAGCGTGCAGGAAAATCGCTTGTCAGCCAATAGCTATATAAGTTCTTAGAAAAAAATTGAATGATAAAAAAAGGAGTGCAAGAAAAATAAGGGAACGGCGCAGGCAAGTAAAAGAAGACCATTTTTGAAAAATCATCGTAGTTTCCTTGAAACTAAAATTGTAGAGAAAACTTTGATTGTTATAACTGTAAACTAAAATTTGTTCTTTTTTAACGTGAGAATAAGGCAGTCGATGATTATTTAACAAATGCGAAGAAAAACTTTACGAAATATATTAGTAAGATAACAGTTCTCAGCGAAACAAACCCCAGTTGAGATACGAAAAAACAGATAAGAAAGCTTCCGGAAAAAGACTTGAGATAAAACATCCAAAAACCTTTATTACTGGTATCAAAAAAAATTTTTCTAAAATGATCATGATGGTAATAACCTCATGGGGTGAAAAAAGTGAAAAAAAACTGGCAGGGAAACATTAATCTTAGAAAAAATTGACAAGAGCAAGGAATAAGATGTCATCAGATCAACTGTGTCCTCGTCAGTTGAAAACAGGAAACAATGTAAATGAAAAAAATAAAAAGAAATAAACATAATTTATTCTTCCTCCCCTTAAAATAAGATGAACTAAATTTCAAAAGAGAAAAAACTGCCTTCAACAAAACAGTTTAGCAGTGTCGACTAAATTTTGATAGCCATCAAACAAGTTTACTACATGAACAAAGTATAAGCCAAGATGGTAACTTAAAGAAACTGTTTATAACCACAGAAAAAAAATGACAAAAAGTATTTGTAATAACTAAAGAACAGTGTATACCTTAAATTCGTCCATATCATCTAAGACCTCATAGTATAGACTATTAATGTCTCGAAAAAGAATGCCCACGACAATAAGTGTCACTAATATGACGCCTCCGCTGGCAACTGACGCCAAATTAACCAGCACACGCGTCCCCATCCTGAAACAAGGAGTTAGCTGTGTAATCCCAAACTGAGAGGATACAGCGGTTCAGAAAGGCGAAGATATGGTTTGAAAGATAAAAAAAAAAATGTATTTCACAAAAGACCACAATGAACATATGACTGGAACCAGACTTAAAATCCCATTTTTTTTTCCATAATTTTCAGTAGACGTCAATATAGGGTAACAGAAAAAAATTTTCAGTGTTATATTTAACGGCAACAATATTAATAGGGCCAGTAACAATTTGTGTACTGTACACTGTTCCACACACTGTATTTCCAAATAGTCAATGAATACGGTATCGCATATAAATGTTAAAAATAAACTGTAATAACCACGGTATTAAAAAGGAAACCAAACAATATGCTGAACTGTATCGGCACAAAAAAAATCCCATCATAATGCTTGATGTGTCACTCCATAATGTAAATTAAGGCATATTCTTTCTCTTAGACACAGCGATAGTTGGAAAAAAAAAGACATCCAACAAAGCATCAAATGATTGCAGTTATATATGCTTTCCTTTTGTACTTTTACATTACTGATACACGTATAACTAACTTTGGCAGACTAGAAGATCAACTATTCAAGCAACTATATTTTTTTTTTTTTTTTTTTTTTTTTTTTGAACAAACTTTAAATTAAAAACGGCGACAACGAGAACAGTGAGCGAACGATAAGAACGGTAACAAGTCTGTTTCACCATCATCATCATCGTACAGCCGTAGTGGTAACTCCACTTGTTTTATTCCGTCGATGTTGTTTGTAGGATGAATGACGACAGTGATGATGGTCAATGGCCAATACGACCTGTCTCGTAAAAAGACCATCAACTTCCGTATGGTGTGATTGAATTAACAGTTAAAAACTGGAGTTGAAACTAAAGAGTTATACTGCGTAAGAGAACATGGCAGAAAAGTGAATAAGTAAACAAAAAGGAAGAAGAAGGAATTAGCTTCGTATACGAAAAAAAACGTAATTTACGAAAAAACTTCAGCTACAAAAGCATCAGTATTATTACTGTCATAACTATCATAATCACCATCACCGCCTCCACCACCACCACTACACAACCATTACCGCCGCTATCGCCATTACTCTCATCACCACCATCGTCCCCCTCATCAACAACAGCACCAACAGTACCGCCGACTGCAGCGATAGCAACAACAGCAACAGCAACAGCAACAGCAACAGCAACAGCAACAACTATAGCAATGGAAAAGAAACGATGTATTTGTTGTTGTTGTGAGAATGTGAAAATATTTTTACCATCATCAACAGAAGCACTGTGCTCTGCAGCAGTGTACTTTTGCTGTGTATTTATATATAACGCCTATATGACTGCTGAAAATCTGGTTCTTTCTTGAGATAGAATCTTAATAAAAAAAATTAAATAAAACCAAAGCATTCTGTTCTGCCACAGAACCCAATCTAAATACTACCCGCCCATTTTGGGCAGAATGCCCAAAATTTTTTTCTTTTCTAACACCGGACACCGACTGAGAGAAGGAGAGGTAAAAACAAAGGCGGAGGCGCAGATGGGAAGACGGAGGAAGAAGAAGGGGAACCTCAAAGTGATTCTTCATTTGTTTATTCATCTATTTATCTATTTATTTATTTAGCTATCTGCCTATTCACCCATTCGTTCATTCCCTCATTCACTCACCCATAATCATTCATGCATCCGGTCATCCGGTCATTCACTTGATTACAAACTGCTTCTCTCGGAAACATTATGGTGACAATTCCTAGGTGCAAGAAAAAAAAAAAAAGCAGAAAAAAGTAAGGCAAGTAGTAAGAAGATTGGTAAACGATTGGAGAAATGAGCCATAACTGAAATGGTGGTAGGAATAAAATAATCAGTTTTGCTTTGGTTCTCGGAGTCTTCGAAGACTGTTTTACAAAAAACTTGTTTTGTCTCGGCTCAACTACAACTTTAACTTGTTTTATTTTTTTATTTTTTATTTTTTTT